AAATCACAAGACAAAAAAACTCGCGGAACGAATTAATTTCGTCTTGCGAGGCACCACTGTACTGTGTTCCGTGAAGTGGGACTATCGTACTTTGTTCTTTTTCTCTTTGCTGTCTGATGCTAGAGAGAGAGGGAGCCATGCTGCAGTGCTCCGTGTGTGTTTATATGTAAATAAAGTAGATTAGCCAAAATGCTGAGTTGCTGAGTTCTGTCATGCAAGTTGCGCAAACTCTGTGGATCCCTAAGTGTGTCAATGTCTATCGGCATCGGTTGCTGTGATGTTCAGGCTGAAGAAAACTTATGAAGCTCCCGAACGATTGACCAGGAGGGAGGGAACATGCCAGTTGGGCATGTGTCTCTGCCAGGGTCCTACTCGAGTGTAGGCTGAACTCCTGACACTTCGCTCCTCAGCCATCAGAGATTGCCTGCTGGCATGCCTACTACGAATGAGACCAGGCCTCGGGTGAATCCATTGTGGCCTTTGTTGTGGCTTTGTGGCAGGCCGTTCACCACTGCGAATCACGACTCAGAATTCAAGGGCCAAAGGCAGCCGCCCAACTCCTGAAATATTCTGTGACTAGACATCACGTATCAAATCAGAACACAGGAGCTCAGAATCCTTAGTCCAGACTCAAGCTCAGGCAAATGGAGACCACTGAATATGTAACACCTGGAATGTCCTGCTTTCCTTTAGAACAGGCTTACTTGACCCTCCAGCTGTTTTTGGACTACAACTCCCATGATCCCTAGCTAGCAGGAGCAGTGGTCAGGGATGATGGGAATTGTAGTCTCAAAACTTCTGGAGGGCCGGGTTTGAGGAAGCCTGCCTTAGAACAGTAATTGTGATGGCCTGGGATTCGGACTGGGATGCTGCACCTGAGGGATCCCAGCCTGCACAGGAGTCCCCACCTCCAGAACCAGCTGAGCCGGGGCTGGGGCTTGAGCCTGAATGGTCCTCACCTGTGCTGGGTCCTCAGGTGCAGGCACCAGCTGAGTCTGCTCTGGCTCCTGAGGTGATGGAGGACCCATTGCCTGCAGGTGCTCCACTCTCAGCCCCGTCAGAGGAAGCTGAGGTTGCCTCTGGGTCCAATAACCCTCTAGCCTCTCCTGAGCTGCAGAGGCTCAGGGCAGAGAGGCGGAGGGAACTAAGTTCCCACAGGAGGAGTGCTCGCCTCCAGGCTAGGAGAGGCGAGTCAGCAAAGGATCAGGGCCGCCCTGTACCTCGGGGCAGATAAAAGCCGGCCAGCCCCAGTCCCAAGTTGTGGGAGCAACATTGTTGGTTGCCAGTTCCTGCCTGAACTCTGTCCTGCTTTCCTGCCGGAGCTCCTGACCCGCCCTGGCTCCCTGCTTGCAAGCCTGTTCCTGACTTCACCCGGCTCCCTGCCCTGCACCCAGCTTCAGCTACTATGTACTGCCTCCACGTCGCACCTTTCACCACGGACCAGACTTGGACCTCGCCTCTTGGGTAACCCACGGGACCAGCACAGTGATGGCCAAACTTAGCCCTCCAGCTGTTTTTGGGACTACAGTTCCCATCATCCCTGACCACTGGTCCTGTTAGCTAAGGATGATGGGAGTTGTAGTCCAAAAACAGCTGGAGGGCCAAGTTTGGCCATCACTGCCTTAGAACGCCCCTCTTTTCACCAGAGTAATGTTGGAGTGTATGCTTCTGTAAATCCAGGACTGTCTCCCCCAAATAGGGGCACTTGGAGGGTCTTTTATCTGTCCTGATTCTTCCAATATTCAGTTTCACGGTTCTAGTGTTATGAGAGAGGAAGAGAAACAGTTCTCTACTCGATTTCCCCATGCTGTGCATAACTAAGCGGAAGGTTAATTATGCTGAAGGATAATTATGGGGCAATGGAAGATGTGGGGAAATGATGGCTTGACGCAATGTTGTACAACCACCCTGAAAACCAATCAGGATGGATGTTCAGTAAAGAGCTGACATCATCCAACCTTTACCCTGGCTTTTGACAAATTTCCTGGACCAACTTTATTCTCGCAATGTTAAGCTGCTTTAGGCTGTTTTTAATATTGTGCCATGCTAGATTTCAGTATGAATGTTGCAGGTTACTGTAGTTGCAACCTGCCCTGAGGCCCTAGGGTGAAGGGCGAGTAACAAATTTCAATAAGAATAAGAACAATGCCATTTAAGCGAGTTGCTACCATAACCACATCTGGCGGCCGTGAGCTGTACTGTCCACATCACAAGGTTTTGTAATTTTTATTTTTCCAGAGATTCTGTGTTCTTTTTCAGGCGTTAAGGGTCTGGTATTCACCAGACAATGAATCCCTTTCAGAGCAAGTTTGGAAACGCCTGAAAAAACATGATCTCAGACAAGCACAAGAAAGAGGAAAAACATATGATCAGCCCTGGCTTTGAAAGGCCCACCAAATGCCTGGCCCACAAAGGATTTATTTTCGCATAACCAAGTTCTTAACCACACAGCATCGTATTTCCCTGGACTCTCCCTTTCCCGTTCGAAGTCTCTTTTCTCTCTCATCTTCTGCAGATGCTTACATACCCTCCAACATTTCTCAGATGAAAACAGGGGTGTCCTATTCCATAATAACATTAACAGCAACCATTTTACTACTTATGCCCTGCCCATCTGACTGAGTTGCAACCTGCCCTGGGGCCTTAGGGTGAAGGGCGAATTTCAATAACTCTGGGTGGCTTCCAACAAATATAAAGGTAAAGGGACCCCTGACCATTAGGTCCAGTCGTGCCCGACTCTGGGGTTGCGGCGCTCATCTCGCTTTATTGGCCGAGGAATACAGCTTCTGGGTCATGTGGCCAGCATGACTAAGCCCCTTCTGGCAAACCAGAGCAGCGCACGGAAACGCTGTTTACCTTCCCGCTGGAGCGGTACCTATTTATCTACTTGCACTTTGACGTGCTTTCGAACTGCTAGGTGGGCAGGAGCAGGGACCAAGCAACGGGAGCTCACCCCGTCACAGGGATTCGAACCGCCAACCTTCCAATCGGCAAGTCCTAGGCTCTGTGGTTTAACCCACAGCGCCACCCGCGTCCCATATAAAAACATAATAAATATTTTTTAAAAAAAACCTTCCCTATATTGTTGTTGTTGTCTTAGTCATTTAGTCATGTCCGACTCTTCGTGACCCCCTGGACCAGAGCACGCCAGGCACTTCTGTCCTCCACTGCCTCCCATAGTTTGATCAAACTCATGCTGGTAGCTTCAAGAACACCATCCAACCATCTCATCCTCTGTCGTCCCCTTCTCCTTGTGCCCTCCATCTTTCCCAACATCAGGGTCCTTCCCTATATAGGGGTTGCCTTTCAATGGTTTGAGTGTCGGATAACTCCATACACTCTGACATTTCTCTGATGAAAATACAGTAGAGACGTCCCGGGGGTGGGGGAGACTGTGGGGATAATGATCTTTTGTTCTGTTGCGTAAGGTCTGTGCGGGTTTTTTGTGTTAGCGTCACCATGTATGTGTTATGTCACTGTTAAATTGCTTGTAAGATTCTTATTTGTATATCTATCTTTTTCTTTCTTTTAAAATTTTATTCATTTTTCTTTTTCATCCATTACATACATCTCAATTTCTTAACATTTATTATATATTCCTCCCTCCCTCCCTTCCAGGGCTTCCCCCAACTTCCGCTTCTGGTTTGTGTCTCTTTTCACCCTCTTTGCTATCTCCTAACAGAAAAAGTTATTAATAACATTACATCAAGCCTAAAAACCTAAAAATAAAAGTAAATACACCATAATATTTCACTATTTTCCAATACTAATAATGTGAATGTTTATTTAAATCCTGCCATCAAGTTTATTGACTTTCTTTGTTTCTGCAAATATAATATGAATGGTTCCCAATCTTTTTCGAAGTCTCTGTTGTCTTTTTTTCTTTATCTACCTGCCATTTTTGCCAGTTCTTCATAGTTCATCAACTTCTCTTGCCATTGTTCTTCAGCTGGTATTTCTCCAGTCTTTCACTTTTGTGCAATCAATATTCTTGCTGCTGTAGTGGCATACATAAATAAAGTCCACAGTTCTTTTGGTATGTCTATCTCTTTTTAAGATGCCCCCAATGAAGGAATTTCAGAAAAAAACACTTTGGGGCTTTAAGTAAATTGTTTGTGGCACATCTGAGAACTCACACACAAGTTATTGGGGGCTGGACTAGATGGCCCTTGGAGTCCCTTCCAACTATACAGTTATACGATTCTCTTTTGGTTTTGCGCAGTGCGTTCCGTGTTTTTGGTTTCTGTAGTTGTTTACACACACACACACACAGCAAAATCTTGGAGACCCAATCTTGGAGAAAGAAAGAAAATAGCAGAGGGAGGATGATTGAATCTGATGAGGTCCATGACACTGGGAGATGTTTTGGATTTTGTTTACCCTCCCCCCATAACCATTTCCCTAAAAGTTTTCCTTAATTTGCATATGCAGATGAAATAGTCAGTGTTATGACCTATGGTCCTGTGTGCCTGCCCCACCGGTCTTTTAAGAATCTAGCTTCCCCTCTTTAGAATCACTGCTCTTTTTTCTCTCATGTGCAATGAATGTACCTTTAACAGATAAGTTAACTGACTAAATCTCGGATAATCAATTAAGTAAGGTTTTTGTTGTTTTTTAAATAACCCTAGCCTGGTTTTTAATGAAAATGCAGAGTAGCAAACTCGACCTGCATTAGTGCTGTGAGGTCTCTTTCAGACAACCTGCCCGTTGAGCTTCCATCCCAATTTGCTTGTCACACACTTTGCTGGGAGGTTAGGCAACATTATTGCACATTTGTTCTGATTTGCTTGTGGGGAGGTTAGATTGAAAAGCATTTGCCACACCTGCCCTGTTCCAGGTACTAAAGGTTTCTCAGAATGCAGGTTGGACAACTACTAATTTGAAAGCCGCTTCAAGACAGTAATAGATAGCAGATCACCTCCAACCTCTCCCTTCACACGAAACACCTATTTTTAATATGCTGGGCAGCGATAATATGAACCAAAAAGTCTCCGACTCACCATGGCAGAGATCTCTCCGGTGCAATTCAGTGCAAACTTCAGCAGTGGATCAGAGTGACAGATGTCCTCCAACGTCAGCGATGCAATGGGCAATTTAAAAACGTCTCTGGGAGTCGTCTGCCCTAAGATCTCCTCCAGCGATCTCTCTGGAATTCCCTGTGGGTCAGTTATGGATTCAACCCAAGTCAATCTACCAGTCAAGAGGACCAGCTCTGTGCATGGGGAGGCTAGACAGACGGACCGTGTCAGCAGAAAGCGTATGTTGCGAGCGCAGTTTCCTTCCTTCGCAGTGCCGTGGCAGTGAGTGTGTTTTCAATTTACTTAACTTCTGTGGAATGCTAATGACTGACCAAGAGAGAGAGAGAGGGTTAGAGATCTGGTTTAAAATAGGAGAAAGGAGGCCCGACGCTGAGGAAGCAAAGAAGGAACATGCCGTTCTCACCATTAGTAACAACAGGGCTGGATTTTGGCTTTAGGAGGCAGTAAGCCATGATATTGCCAAGCACGGGCTGCAGCTCAGTGGAAGAGCACTTGTTTAGTATGAATCAAAGAGATGGAAGTGCTACGGAAAAATCTAGGTGTGAGGCTGCTCAGCCAGCCAGCTGGTCGGGCAGAGCCCGCGGATCCCTGTGGAATAAAGGAAGGAATCCAGCCACCAACCGGAGCAAATAGCTGTAGACCAAAGTTTATTGCGCAACAGGTTCAAAGGGGAATTTTGAACCCCGAGGATGGGGTGAGAAGGACTTTTAAAAGTTTCTTTCTTATCCCAGCTTACAGTTCATTAAGCATCATCACTACATCATTGCTACATTAGAAAAAGGGAGAGTTATATATGGTTAAATAAGGGACGCGGGTGGTTGGCAGTTCGAATCTCCGTGACGGGGTGAGCTCCCGTTGCTCGGTCCCTGCTCCTGCCAACCTAGCAGTTTGAAAGCACGTCAAAGTGCAAGTACCGTATTTTTTGCTCTATAAGACTCACTTTTTCCACCTAAAAAGTAAGGGGAAATGTGTGTGCGTCTTATGGAGTGAATGCAGGCTGCGCAGCTATCCCAGAAGCCAGAACAGCAAGAGGGATTGCTGCTTTCAGTGTGCAGCGATCCCTCTTGCTGTTCTGGCTTCTGAGATTCAGATTTTTTTCCCTCTTGTTTTCCTCCTCCAAAAACTAGGTGCGGCCTATGGTCTGGTGCATCTTATAGAGCGAAAAATATGGTAGGTAAATAGGTACCACTCCAGCGGGAAGGGAAACAGCGTTTCCATGCGCTGCTCTGGTTCGCCAGAAGCGGCTAAGTCATGCTGGCCACATGACCCGGAAGCTGTACACCGGCTCCTTCGGCCAATAAAGTGAGATGAGTGCCGCAACCCCAGAGTCGGCCACAACTGGACCTAACAGTCAGGGGTCCCTTTACCTTTACCTATGCATGATTAACATAGGAGGAATGTGTTGGGGCAACAGGCGGATACAGGATATGTATTGGGAAGTACATTCTAAGCACCTACTACAAAGGGACAGTAGAACTTTGGTTTGCATAGTCTGCCACCTGGGCAAGTCCGCAGGAGTGCCTCTGCCCAGCGATTGACACCTATGAGTGTCCTGTGAGTACAGTGACCTCCCGCTTGAGGGATTATGGCGGAGACCGAGTGGTTTCCAAGTCCTTGGCCAATGAAGCAAAATGGCGGTGGAATGAAGGAAACTGGCAAAGGAGTTGATTTTATATGACTTTTAAAGCTAGGTAACTTCCCTGAGCTGTCAAGTTGAAAGGATACATTCAGGCATAATATTTGTAACATTTAACAACTTTAAAGATGTGCCCCCCCCTAATTTCCATAACAGAAGGAACCCCAAGGGATCATCTAGTCCAACCCCTGAGATGCAGGAATCTCAGCTGAAGCATCCACAACAGATGGCCATCCAACCTCTGCTTGAAAACCTCCAAGGAAGGAGAGTCCACAACTTCCTTAGGGAGTCCGTTCCAGTGTCGAACAACTCTTACTGCTAGAAAGTTATTCAGATGTTGGTTCGAGTTCTATCCTCCAGAGCATGAGAAAACAAGCTTGCCCCGTCTTTCACATCAAAGCCCATGAGAGATGGCAGCACCCTTCCCTCCTGTGGTCTCCAGCAAGTGGTATTCAGAGTAATTTACTGCCTAATTTACACCAGCCAGTGTGGTGTAGTGGTTAAGAGTGGTGGACTCGTAATCTGGGGAACCGGGTTCGCGTCTCTGCTCTTCCACATGCAGCTGCTGGGTGACCTTGGGCCAGTCCCACTTCTCTGAAGTCTCTCAGCCCCACTCACCTCACAGAGTGTTTGTTGGGGGGGAGGAAGGGAAAGGAGATTGTTAGCCACTTTGAGACTCCTTCGGGTAGTGATAAAGCGGGATATCAAATCCAAACTCTTCTTCTTCCAACCAGGGGGGCAGAGCATAGTCATAGGGCTAGTTGTTGTTGTTGTTTAGTCGTGTCCGCCTCTTCGTGACCCCCTGGACCAGAGCACGACAGGCACTCCTGTCTTCCACTACCTCCCGCAGTTTGGTCAAACTCATGCTGGTAGCTTCCAGAACACTGTCCCACCATCTCGTCCTCTGTTGTCCCCTTCTCCTTGTGCCCTCCATCTTTCCCAACATCAGGGTCTTTTCCAGGGAGTCTTCTCTTCTCATGAGGTGGCCAAAGTCTTGGAGCCTCAGCTTCAGGATCTGTCCTTCCAGTGAGCACTCAGGGCTGATTTCCTTCAGAATGGAGAGGTTTGATCTTCTTGCAGTCCATGGGACTCTCAAGAGTCTCCTCCAGCACCAGAATTCAAAAGCAGCCATTCTTCGGCAATCAGTCTTCTTTATGGTCCAGCTCTCACTTCCATACATCACTACTGGGAAAACCATAGCTTTAACTACACGGACCTTTGTTGGCAAGGTGACGTCTCTGCTTTTTAAGATGCTGTCCAGGTTTGTCATTGCTTTTCTCCCAAGAAGCAGGCGTCCTCTCTTCCTCCATGAATCTGTCCAATATTCTTTTAAAGCCACCCAAGTTGGCCATCCCTGCCTCTTGTGGGAGTGAGTTCCACAGTTCAGCTGTGTGCCATGTGAAGAATTATTATCAACATTGTTGGTGTCAGAAGAGTGCAACAACAAAAAACTCCGTTCTGTAGCTTTCTGTCATATGTCTGGGAGGGAATCTTGATTGTTTTCCCTCTGTGCTACATTGGTAAAGTAGCACAATGGATGATCTGCATCCGTTTACTTCATTATTTTTATATATATAATGCAAGACTTGTTGCCAAAAACAGAATAGTTAGTAGTTCACCACCAGCATCAGTAAAACCTGCTCTGTGTTGAATAACATGCATATTATTAACTCTACATGAATGTAACAATTTTATATAAAGGTAAAGGTAAAGGGGCCCCTGACCATTAGGTCCAGTCGTGGCCGACTCTGGGGTTGCCGCGCTCATCTCACTTTATTGGCCGAGGGAGCCGGCGTACAGCTTCCGGGTCATGTGGCCAGCATACTAAGCCGCTTTTGGCGAATCAGAGCAGTGCATGGAAATGCCGTTTATCTTCCCGCCGGAGTGGTACCTATTTATCTACTTGCACTTTGACGTGCTTTCGAACTGCTAGGTTGGCAGGAGCAGGGACTGAGCAAGGGAGCTCACCCCGTCGCTGGGATTCGAACCGTCAACCTTCTGATCAGCAAGTCCTAGGCTCTGTGGTTTAGACCACAGGGCCACCCGCGTCCCTTAACAATTTTATATATGCAACGGTATTTTTATTGCAATATTTTCCTTAAGTTGTCTGTTGTTTGCCGTCTGCTTCAGTTTTATCTACACCCCGTCCTTTTTCTGGGGGTACGCATACCTCTAAAACATTTTGTGAATCTTTGTACTTTTGCCCATTTACTGTATTCATTTTCCCCAATCTGAACTGTAAAATGGTGGTTTTATGGAGCCAAAATCAGATGAGCCAATTTATATAGAAAAAAAGCACGGCGTACACCACTTAGAAATATTTCAAATATATTCACCCATCGTGGGGTGAAACTTGCGGCGCTAGGACCTGCCCATCCCCGGCCGGCTTGGAGGAGGAGGGCAGCGGGGGGCGTGGCTCGACGTGAGGGGCGTGGCTTTTTCGCGCAGGTGGGAGTAGGCGTGGCCCACTTGTCCCCGGCCGACTTCTTGGAGGAGGGGGCGTGGCCCGCCTGGAGCGTGGGCGTGGCTTCCCCCGGCGGGTGGGCGTGGCCTCGCCTTCCCCTCAGAGTCTCCTCAGAGATTCTTTTCCCTCAGAGCGTCTCTGGCTCGGGAGGCGATGGCGGCGAAGCGGCGGGCGGTGCTCTTCGACCTGGGCGGCGTCCTCTTCGGCAGCGGCCTCCCGGGAGTCTTCCGGCAGCTGGAGCCGTCGCTGGGCCTGCCCGGGTGGGTAGCCGGCCGCGAGGGGGGGAGGACGCGGCGGCGGCGAAGGGGGCGGAGGCAAACCCGCCCGCCCGACTGCTGCTCTTGGCTCGGGAGGCGACGCCAACCGCAAAAAACAGCCCCGCCGCCGCGTCTCTCGCGTGTGCGTTTGTGTGTTGTTGGTCGCGCCCGGCCGCGCGCGAGTGAGAGAGAGGCTGCTGCGCTGAATGTCTTGGGGAGTCAGAAAGAGAGCGAGAGATCCACTCGTTGGATATTCGTGATAATTATCACAATTTAATGATCGCTATTCTTTAATTGATAATTAAATGATAAATAATTACAGAATCGTGTGTACTCAAAAATAAATGAAGAATAATGTTTATATAATATAATAATAATAGTTAATAGTAATAATAATTTATTTTAAAATAAATTTAAATTTATTATTATTATTATTATTATTATTATTATTATTATTTATTAATATACTGCCCCTCTGGCTGGGTTTCCCCCCTACTGTATATAATCACATATAGTTAGCTAATTATAGTTGGATACTGGAATAGTAATCAATTATTATATAATTCCACGTGATCATATAATCGCGAATGACTAATTAATTATAACTAAATAATTCTTAGCTGTTGCATAATATAACCCTGGAACAGAGGGGCCGGGTGGTGCTGCCTCGCGGTTGCCTTTGGGATTGGTGGTGGTGGCGGAGTTGTTGCGCTCTGCACGTGCCCAGAAGCTTCCTGAGCCTGCTGCCTTGTGGGAAGTGAATGTCCTGGGCATTGGTGCCAGAAAGCCTTCAGAAGTGGTGGCAGGGGGAGTTGTTGCGCTCTGCACATGCTTAGGTGTTTGTTGTTACATTCGCACAGTGCTTTGCAGAAATGGTACCTGTGGCCTTTTTGGACCCAGGACCCGCTTTGAACCCAAAAGTGCATTGTGGGACCTGTTTCTTAATCCTTTACCACATGTTTGTTTGGTTGCAAACTATCCTGTGATCTTCAGGGGAGGAGTAGTATATCAATCAATCAATCAATCAATTTTAATAGATAGATAGATAGATAGATAGATAGATAGATAGAGGTTCTGCTGAATATATTGGACATCCCTGAGAGTCAGATTGAGAGAGACAAGTTCATTAAACATATTAAAACCCCAGGCTTATGTGCCCCCCAGCAGCCGGCAGGGCAGTTGCTGCACTCTGCACATGCTTAAAGGTGTTTCAAGTCTGTTGTCATGTAGGCAGTGTCCTGAGGTTTTAGAAGATGGGAGACCAGGGCTCTGTGGGGAACGCCCCACATTTAGGACTCTGAGATATGTTTGCACCTTGAGGTGTTTACTGGAATTGTTTGTGTACAGGGGAGGGAGATGAGGACGGCTAAAGGGGTCCTATTGCTTTGTAGTTATTGTTACGTATTGCTAATTTTGTTATTTATTTTGTTATTTATTTTCCAATTTCTCTTTACATTTTTATACAATCTTTCAAGACAAGTTCACAAGCCGTAGAAACAGCAAAGATTGCACATCTTATAACAACCCGATCCAATGAAAATAAGTCATAATAATAATTAATAATAATTTATTATTTATACCCCACCCATTTGGCTGGATTTCCCCAGCCACGCTGGGCAGTTTCCAACAAAGACTGAAAACACATTAAAACATCAGTCATTAAAAACTTCCCTAAACAGGGCTGCCTTCAGATGTCTTCTAAGCATCAGATAGTTGTTTATCTATTTGACATCTGATAGGAGGGTGTTCCCCAGAGCGGGCGCCACTACCAAGAAGGCCCTCTGCCTGGTTCCTTGCAACTTGGCTGGTGCTGGATCTCAGTGTCTGGGCAGAACCTGACTTTAAAATAAGCAACATGTATCAAATAAAGTAACATGCTACTGTGTCATTAAACAAAAAATGGAAGTAGTTTGCAGCAACAAAACATACCGTATTTTTCACCCTATAGGACGCACCGGCCCATAGGACACACTTATTTTTTTGGGGGGGGGGAAATAAAGGGGGGGAAATTATTTTTCCGCCCTGAGCCCCAAAGAGCAAAGAAGCCATGACCCGCTCGCTGTCCTGGCTTCGTTTTTAGCCTCGGGGCTGGGGGTCCAGGAGCGAAGGCGAGGTTGCGGAACCTCGCCATCGCTCCCGGAGCTTGCGGGGCTGGGGGCGGGGGAAGCCTGGGAGCGGGGGAGAGCCAGTGTGGTGTAGTGGTTAAGAGCGGTAGTCTCGTAATCTGGGGAACCGGGTTCGCATCTCCGCTCCTCCACATGCAGCTGCTGGGTGACCTTGGGCCAGTCACACTTCTTTGAAGTCTCTCAGCCCCACTCACCTCACAGAGTGTTTGTTGTGGGGGAGGAAGGGAAAGGAGAATGTTAGCCGCTTTGAGACTCCTGAAGGGGAGTGAAAGGCGGGGTATCAAATCCAAACTCTTCTTCTTCTTCCTCCGACCCCAGCCCCCCAGAACGGGTCCGAGAGCGATGGCGAAGCTGCGCGTGGCTTCACCATTGCTCTCAGAGCTTGCGGGGCTGGGGGGATAGCTTCCTGAAGTCTGGAGAGCGAGAGGGGTCGGTGCGCACTGACCCCTCTCGCTCTCCAGGCTTCAGCAAAAGCCTGCATTCGCCCCATAGGGCGCACACACATTTCCCCTTCATTTTTGGAGGGGAAAAAGTGCGTCCTATAGGGCGAAAAATACGGTAGACAGCGTACAGTAAAACCCACTGAAAAGTTATGAGTTAACCATTGTACAAAGATGTCGTCTTAATTGCCTGCACAGGCCTGGCACAATAGAAAAGTTTTCAGCAGGTGCTTAAAACTTGGCACAAAAGGCACCTGCTGAATCTCTAGTGGCAGAGCATTCCACAGGACTGGGCCAATGACACCAAAGGCTTGGTTTCCTGTTGCTGTCAGATGTGCATGGTGCCTTGCAGAATGCAAGAGAGGGCAGGTGTCTGCACCAAGGAGCCCTGCAAGCTAAAATTTGGTGTGATGGAAATTGAGGCAGCTGGTAAACAGGAGAAGAAGCGTGCATATACTCATATATATTTGCACTTCACTGTGATCCTCATGCATAACCATGGCAACAAACCAGTATGGTAGGATGCTATTGACTTTGTAATAATTGCAATTCACCTGTGGAATTTACACCCAAAAGGTGTAAAGGTAAAGGGACCCCTGACCATTAGGTCCAGTCGTGACCGACTCTGGGGTTGCGGCGCTCATCTCGCTCTATAGGCCGATGGAGCTGGCATTTGTCCACAGACAGCTTCCGGGTCATGTGGCCAGCATGACCAAGCTGCTTCTGGCGAACCAGAGCAGCGCACGGAAACGCCGTTTACCTTCCTGCCGGAGCGGTACCTATTTATCTACTTGCACTTTGACGCGCTTTCGAACTGCCACCCGCGTCCCTTTTGCAATTCATAATTGCAATTCAGCTGTGGAATTTACACCCACAAGGTGTAGTAACCATTTATTTGTGATGTTTTGCTGACCTCTGCCAAGAAAATCAGGTTGCTTGTAATCCAGCTAGCACAGGCTTTGCCCAACTCTTATCAAAAGAACAAATCTTTGCCTCTGGTCTTGGAATATAGTAGTTTCCGGGGACCAGAAATGGGGAGAGTGCTCCTATTGCTGGATTAGCCATTGTGAGAATGGGATGATGGATTTAGAAGAGACTTTGGCTTGATCCAGCAGCCACGCTCTTAAGTCACGTTCTGATTGTTCTTAAGAGTGGGCTTCCGGAAGCCATTTAGCAAGCTCCTGGTAGAGGTTGCACTTGAGCTTGAGGTTTCCTCATTTGTAGCTCACTCCCTTAATCGCTGTGCAATATCCTGAGTTGAAGGACAGTACCCGGGCAGCCTTTCAACTTCTGCCAGGGCTTCGTATTGGCAGTAGGGGCTCCCATGATGGAAAGGGCCCTCTATGCAAAAGTGTTTCATGCCGTTGCGGGGGATTCAAACCGCCGACCTTCTGATCGGCAAGCCCTAGGCTCTGTGGTTTAGACCACAGCGTCACCCGCGTCCTAATCTGCACATGTAGTATGTCCCAAAACCTTAATCAATTGCAACTAAAGAATTCCTGACAGATGGCCATCCAACCTCTGCTTAAAAACCACCACCACCTTCTGAGGGAGTCTGTTCCATCGTTGAACAGCTCTTCATAACTTTTGTCGGAATCTCGTTTCCTGTCATGTGAATCCATTGATTCTGGCCCTGCCCTTTGGAGCAGCAGTAAGCAAGCTTGGTCCATCTTTCATATGACAGCCCTTCAGGTATTAGCACTGCTTGTGAGCAGTCCTTGATTCCTCCTGCCAGTCATCTTAGAAGAGCCAGCCTGCTGGGTTGGGTCTAAAGGCTCATGAGCCCAGCATCCTTTTCTCCCAGACGCCTTTGGGGAGTCCGCAGTAAAGATCTGAGTGCAGCTGCCATCCCCACTGGTGATTGATTCCCTGCAACTGGTGCTCAGGGCATCCTACTTGACCTTCTAGGGAACGGGTGGTGCTGTGGTCTAAACCACTGAGCCTCTTGGGCTTGCCGATGTTCTGCCCAAGTTTCTGTCAACCTAGCAGTTCGAAAGCATACCAGTGTGAGTAGATAAATAGGGACAGTAAACGGTGTTTCCGTTCGCTCTGGCTTCCATCACGGTGTCCCTTTGCACCAGAAGCGGTTTAGTCATACTGGCCACATGACTTGGAAAGCTGTCTGTGGACAAACGCCAGCTCCCTCGGCCTGAAAAGCGAGATGAGCGCCGCACCCTTTGACTGGACTTAACCGCCCAGGGGTCCTTTACCTGACCTGACCTTCCGCACTCTTCACATTCTCAGTAAATTATGAATGCTTCTCTCTTGCGTGCTCAGACTTCCGTTGCTGTTCTTCGAGCAGGTATGATCCAGTCCAAGACTGGAACTGTCCCAGCTAAGTGGATATGGGAGAGGTTGCAACGTTTGGGGCTTCTTAGTGGAGAGCAAAGGGGAGTAAGAAGATGCAAGACAGAACTGTATAAAATGATTCATGATG